CCCAGCTCCAGGTTGAGCTGTTGTTCAGCATCTTAGCTGTAGAGGGCAGTGTCACTGGCCCTCATATGTGGGATCCGAACCGGGGCCCTCCGGCATCCCAAGCCAGTTCTTAACCATCGTGCCACTCGGCCGGCCCTCACTGTAACTTTCTAAAAGAGGAAAGTGTGACCACTTTCTGGAGGAAGATTTTATTATTATTATTATTATTATTATTATTATTATTATTATTATTATTTCATTCTCTATATATTAAATATTTAGCAAGTCTGACGTACAATCAGAAATTAGGAGGCATGTGAATAATCAGGAATAGATTACCCATGATCAAGAAAGAGAATAATCAGTGAAGGAAATCACAGATGGATCAAAATGTTGGGATTAACAGACAAGAATTTTAAAATAACTTCTATACATATGTTAAATAATTTTTGAGGAAACATGGGCAAAACGAATGAAAAGATGGAGAATTTCAGCAGAAAAATGGAAACCCTAAAGAAGAAATAATGGAAATTCTACACCTGAAGAGTGTAATAGATGAAATGAAAAAAACAATTAAATGGGCCTAATAGCAGATAAGTACACATTCAAAGAAAGGATCTTTGAATTCAAGGACAGAACAAAAATAGTATCTGAATTGAAGCATGGGGTGAGGGGAAGAGGTAACAGAGCATCAAACCTGTATGACTGCATCAAATGGACTAAACAACCAGGTGTAATTGGAATTCCAGAAGGAAAATAGAAAAAAGGGAGGAAGGAATAAGGGCTAGGTGTTTTCTAACTCTGATCAAAGACATTAACCTAATAGATATAAAAAACTTAGCAAACCCCAAGAAGGATATATGTAAATGAAAGCACACCTAATTACCTCTTAATTAAACTGAAAAAAAAGAATGAAAACTAAAAAAACCATAAAAGCAGCCAAAAGAAGAAATGCATCATATTCAGAGAGATAACAATAAGAATGATGCCTGCTTTCTCATAAGAAACAATGGAATAAAATAAAGTGCTGAAAGAAAATGGCTGTCAACCTAGATTTAAATACCTGGCAAAAATATCCTTCATAAATGAAGCCTACGAAAGACTTTTCAGGAAAAACAACAACAGCATAATCATTCATCAGAAGATTTACATTGCAAGAAATTCTGTAGAGGGTTTATCAGTCAGAAGGGAAATGATCTCAGATTAAAGCCTGGATCTGCAGGGAGGAAAGAAAATACTAGAATAGAAAGGATAAATATATATATATGAAACTTTTTTTTTTTAATTCTCAAAGACTTAACTGTTGAAAACAAGTATACTGGCAATATATTGTGGAATTTATAGCATGTAGAAGTAAAATAAAACAGTAGCAAAAAGGGTGGTAGGATAAATGGAATAATACTGTTTTAGGGTGGGTCCTTATGTTGTTTGTGAAATGGGAAATCCTAATTTCAGGGACTACTGTGATAAAGATGTCTTATAATCTCTAGTTTAACCATTAAAAACTACAATAATGTATAGCTAAAAATTTAGCCATCAGGGACATAAAATAGAGTAGTAAAGACATTTTATAATTTCAAAAGCGTAAAAAAGTAGGAAGAAACAAGAGTAGATGCAATAAAATAGCAAGATGGCAGACTTACACAAAGCCACATCAGTAATTAAATATAAATAGTCCAAGCATTAAAAAGCAGAGATTGTCAGAATGTACAACCTAGTAGTTAATATTTATTAACACATTTATTTATTTATTTTTTTATTTATTGGTTGATTTACTCTAAAGATGTATACTCTTAAGTTCATTTTGAGGTATTCTAATTTTAAAATACTCTGATAAATTGTACATTTTATATATTTCTGCGTAATTAATATATTTAGTGAAGAAATATTTAGAATGTAAGTACAAATGATTGCATTTTTATTTAATTTAATATTTCCCATAAAGTACTAAGTGTATTAGTCGGGATTCTCCAGAGAAAGAGAATTGTGCAAACCAATTCCTTAAATAAACCTCTCTGGAGGTTTATTTAAGGAATTGGTTTGCACAATTGTGGAGACGGACAATTAGGAAATCTTCAGGGTAGTCTGGCAGGCTAGAAACCCAGGGAAGAGTTATGGATCAAGTTCAAAAGCAGTCTAATGGCAAAACTCCCTCTTTCACTCCCTCAGGCTTTCTTAAGGCCTTCAGCTGATTAGATGAAACCCACCCACATTGTGGAGGGCAATCTGCTTCAGTCAAAGTTTACAGATTTGATTTGTAACAGCATCCAAAAAATACTTCCGCAGGAACATCTGGGATGTTTGAACAAATATCTGGGTACTGTGGCCTAGTCAGGTTGACATACAAAAATAGCCAGCGCAGCAAGCTACTCATTGTGGACATTCACCTTAATAAAAGTGAAATAAGATACAAATATAGATTTTTTTTTAGGTAAAATTTACATAAAATAGGATGCTATTTTGGGATATTTTTCTGAAAGTTTTCTGTGTATTCTTTACTGAAAGTTTGAACAAACACATATGATTCTATTTCCAAATCATATTTCAATAGGCACTCTAAATTTAAAACTGAGATTATATCTTTGGATAAGAAGTGATTTCTTTTGTTGATCTCTCTTAATCCTTTATCATACTTTACGGAAAATAAGTTAAATGTCTGTGAATGAGTGGAACTAGTGTTTTGTTTCAACTAGGATTTCACTAATTGCTTCTAACAGTATATTACAGTTATCACTTCTAACCAGCCCTGCCTTTAAAGGTGACAGCCTTTAGCATTTGAACAAACTATTCTAATATCCTAACTCACATGTTGGTTTGCTGATTGATGGACAGAGATTGTAAAGTAAATGAGACCCACACCTGCATTCATTTTTAACTTGAGCTTGACTTTGAATCAGTATCTTTACAGATGAGATGCAATTATATCCTTAGAAGCTGTTTATTACAAAGAAATGCAGTAGAGGACATTGGGAACAAAAAGATAAATCCACACATGATAAAAGATTTTTCTCAAGTTTAGCAGTTAATATTATGATTTAAAGGAGAGAATCAGGGGAGCTTTTTTTCCCAGACACTCCACGGTGATTAAATAAATAGCACAGTATGTCATAGTAGGAAGTCAGATCAAAGAGAAATTAAAATAGATTTATTTGTTCTTTTTGAGAAAATAAGGAAGTGATTCCTTTCATAGCCTCTGTGATATTTCTTTATGAAAACTTGATGACCTCAAGTGAGAAATAAAACTTTCAAGGAAGAAATGCAGCTGTGGAGATAATGGTATAATTTTTGAGCCAAGAGCATGTTGTGGACACATCTTGTGCCGTTGCCAGAGGCCACTGAAATGGGAAAATTGGCTTAGGTCACCTTGAGTGAAACCTCTTGGCTAAACTCTCCATCTGTTTCTGACCATAGAATTCATGATGCAGCTTTAAAGCCTTTTTTTCTCGTAAGCTGTCGGAGTTGTTTTACTGACATAAATGTTTTCAAAATAAAACGGGTAGGCATAATAAGCAAATATTCACAATCTTTTCTTTTAACAGGAATTTTCAACATAGAAACAATGCCTTGTAACCATCACGTAGATAGACCACCAACGGTAAGGCAGTCTATTTCTGCATTGTTAAAACTGATAAGAAGCTACAATGATACTGGTTATGTGACACAAAATGCCACTGTAGAAAACTCTTGTAACCTCCCTTTTGTCAGAAGTTATATCCCTTCAAGAAAGTTAACCTCATGTTTTCTAATTAAGGAAGAAAATCTTGCTGATTTTTGCCAAGATTTAGAAAAATAAGAGACTGTATCATTTTTACAAGTACTTATTTATACTGTTATAAATAGAATATTTTTAATTTAAAAATACTTTATACTTTTGATAAAGTAATGTAAATCTATATGCAAATTGATTTACACCCTTGTTAAAATGAGTGTTTTTTTGTGCAGTAGGATCATTTAGAGTGAATGTTTTGTAATAGTGAAAGAAAGCCATTATGTTTCATCGTCACAGATTATTATGCTTTGTTATTATAGAAGTGCAATCTTTTCTTTTATCCCTCTTATATACTACCAGGTAACAAAAGGCATTTAGCAATTGCAGTACCTATTTACTATATCAAAAATAATTATAGAAAAAGATATAGAAGGAAGATGATTAAATTTCCCTTTTAGTCTCTGAATATAATATTTGTATGAAATATACATCAGTTGCTCGTTTCCACTTGAAAGATTCATAAGATGATATAAACTAGAGTATATCTTAGTCTTCACAAAGCATAATCTTCTTTCTTGTCCTTTGTATAAAATAAGTCTTTTCAAGTACTCCACACAACTCATCATTTTCTGTTGTGAAAAAGCTTTGGTAATACCTTTTTAAAGAAAATATTCAACTGTATTTGAATTTTATTGATAATTAATATTTTCCTCAAAGCCAAATTGACTCCATTTTCTATTTGTAATAAACCCATATGATTAATTCAACATGTTTAATGACTTAATATTGGGGGCTCCAGAAAAGACTAGTGTTTCGGGAATTAATCATCCAAGTAATCATAAAAAATACTTGGCTATAGTGTGTGTTCCAGTTATCCTTTAGTAGCCATAACATTATGTAAATTTTGTTCTTTTATATTACAAAATTGAAGATTGGCAATATGGAAAATCAATGTATTTGAATAATAGACTCATTGGATCATTTTGCATACTTTTGAAATTTGTGTTGTTCCTATAGGCATTCCTGTGGCACCGGTGTTTACATTGCTGCTTTTTTTTCATTTTTACTTTCTGGAACTCAGAAAAATGCCGCCCAGCAGTTTTTTGACTTATCTTGTAGGCTGGTTGTAGATTCCCGGTTAATTAAATGATGAAATAATACAACTAAATTCTCATGAAATCATGAAAAATAATGGTATAAACGTTTGTAGTAGTGCCCTAATGATCTCCAAATGACTCCAGTAAATTAGGGACAATATTTAATAATAATAGTTTAAGTACTGTTGGTGTTTTGATTATTTTTTCTGTTTGGATTATTTAATGGTAGTTCCTTATATATTATTAACGTTTCTACTCTGTGCAGTCAATAAGTTTTAATATACTTGTTTTATAAAGGCACTCTCCCAAACACTCATAGGTCTCCCAAGTTTTGAGTTGAGCCAAGCTTCCTTTTTGATGCATTGTTTCTTTTTTAAGCTTTTCTCCTGTCTCTTGATTACAAACTAAGCATATTCTACTACCCCTCCCCCTGCTTACTGACAGATAACTTTGGCCCTTTCTCCATAACCTCTAAATAGAATCACAAGTGTGTTCAGTACCCAATGTCCTCTGGTCCCAGGAAGGTAAAGTCTGATTTTCACAGAAAATACAATTTTTCATAATTTCCATTTTTGTACCTATAGCCCCTTATTTTCATTAAAGGGATTAAGAGCTGAAAATGCCTAGAGATAGAATAAATAGGAAAAAGTCTGTCTAAAAATTTAACACAGTAGGATATTTGTAAGGTCTAACTTTGTACTATATTGGCCCTAGAAGGGGCAAGATTTCCGGGGTCTGACAAAAATACAGAAAGGGAGTGGGCTAGGATTTCAGAATGGCTCAGCTGGAGCCCTGAATAACTTCTTGACCTTCTACCTAACCACCAGTTTCCAGCTTACTTCTCTACACATTCTCACTCCCACTGCCGTCTTGCTTCAAGTACCACCATGAAAGGCTTGGAGCTAGGAGAAGGCTAGATGCTAGAGCTACAGCTATTCATCAGCTGAGGGAAGTGAGACTTTCTCAAGTCTCTATAACAGGGAAAGATGTGTTTCTTGACACACTAAGTTTGAATGAACTTTTAAGTAAATACATAGTTATAGAGGATAGTTTGATCGTATAGCACTATAATGTGATGTAGTGTTCTTTAAGTAAATATAGGTTAGCCTGAGAACAAAACCAGCTCTGTACCTTTGTTCTGTGTTTTCTCTCACTCTCTTTTTAATTTATTTGTTTCCCCTTTTTTTTTCATTTATTATATGAACTTTATTTTTTTTTATTTTTTTTCTTTCTGACATAAATAATACCATGTCTGTTTCTGAGATGCCCATCATAAAAAGTAAAACAAGTATCCCCACATGGCATCACCCCCTCCATAAAAAAGGATCAAACCTTCTTATCTGGCTATAACCACAACTCACTTTTTTTCATTCTGAGCTCTTAATGTACTTTATATTTAAGAGGCTATTTTTTTCAAGAAATTAAATTTAGAGGTATATTATCTGAATCTACATATTTTAAAATACCTCCCAGTTGTCTTTGCATAAGACAGCTTGCCAGGGTTTTTTTCTCAAAGCATTGTGGAAATTGATCATCTTTTTTGCCTTCTGGCCTTTAGTACTTTAGGAGAGACATTGCACATTAGCCTGATAGTTATTCCTTTGTATAGTTGGCCTGGTTTGCCTGCTCGTGTATTAGAGATTTTCTTTTGTTCTCTTTATGTCTAATGTCCTAGCTCAGATTTGATGGTTAAATATGTGGCTTTCTTTTCACAGATTTTTTCCCTGAATGGTATTCACTCAGACATTTTAGTATTACAGGGAAAAGCAAATAAGACATTAGACAATCATATTAGATTACATGAAAATAATTAGATCATGCCACTTTAAGAACCAGTTGCTGCACCTGCTTATAGCCTACAGCAAGTTAAGGATAATATCAGACTCAGATTAATCAGAGGTCATTGTCTGAACCCTGAAAGGCAGGTGTAAAAGTTAGTTAATAGTTAACTTATCACAGGCTTGAGTCTCACATTTACTTTAAGTGAAGGACTTATTTGCAAATCAAAGAGAAACAGTAGTAGCTTAAGGAAGCCTTTCCTCTTCATGTTTGGTCATTTCTTATTTGAGGTTATTCCACAAAGTTAAAACATACCTGCCCTTTAATGTACAAACATATGCACAGAAGTTCCCATAGCTTTTCCCGTACTGTCTAGCGGAATTAAAACAGGGTAAGCTCTGCGGAATATATTTTTGTGATTTGAGAACTGTTTTTGAATCTCTTCCAGTGAAAACTGATACACTAAAATTCCAATGGCATCAATATTGCCTATTGTAATTAATCACTTATTTTTGTAAAGTTTCTTTATTCCAAACCTGTAACACTAATATTACTTCTTTCTTCTTATTTTATTTCTTTTTTTAATTACATTTATTGGGGTAACAGTGGTTAGTAAAGTTACATAGGTTTCAGGTGTACAATTCTGTAATACATCATCTGTATATCACATTGTGTGTTCACCACCCAGAGTCAGTTCTCCTTCCATCCCCATGTATTTGACGCCCTTTACACTCTTTGGCCATTCCTGCTCCCCTTTACCGCCTGGTAACCACTAAACTGTTGTCTGTATCTAAGAGGTTTTTTCTTTATTTGTTTGCCTTGTTTCTTTGTTGCTTTCAGTTTTATATCCCACATATGAGTGAAATCATATGGTTCTCGACTTTTTCTGTCTGAATTATTTCGCTTAGCGTAGTAATCTCAGGGGCCATCCATGTTGTCGCAAATGGCACTATTTCATCTTTTCTTTTGGCAGAGTAGTATTCTATTGTATATATGTCCACGTCTCCTTTATCCAGTCATCTGTTGAAGGACACTTTGGTTGTTTCCATGTCTTGGCCACTGTAAATAATGCTGCAATGAACATTGGAGTACATATATCTGTACAGATAAATGTTTTCAGATTTTTTGTGTAGATACCCAGGAGAGGGATTGCTGGGTCATATTAATTTTTTTGAGAAACCTCCACACTGCCTTCCATAGTGGCTCTTCTTATTTTATTTAATGATACCAGAACCCCCATTAATAAGAACAATTTTTTTTTTTAACAAATGGGTTTTTTGGCTGTTTATAAAACTGCAGCTTAACGTTTTCACAGAAACCTACACATCTACCATAACAGATTGAAACAAAATCCAGGCTATCTTATCAGGATTATACCAGTTATGGAACACTTTTGCCATTCATCTAAGTATTGCATTAATTATGAGGAATTAAATTATCCTAGTTTGATTGGAAATTTAATGTTGATTCATTATACTTTCTCATTATAAGACCAAGCTAATAAGCTATTAATTAATTCATTTTGCAGTTACACTTCCAGGTTTTCTAAGGGTTTGATTGATGAATTTTTGTCACATAATTTTTCGTAAGTTACTACTGATGAAAACACTTTAAAGTGTTTTAGAGTATTTTATTCTGAAATATATCTGAGATGTTTGTGATATTGCTTGTCCTTAACACTAAACTTATTCATAACTGTACTGATCTGAATCATACAAATTTAATTTTATTCTGAGACTCTTGAATTTGATGATAACTATACTTACTCTACAACATTTTGAGTTGCTTTTGTTGTTAGATTGTCATCATTATTTAGCCCACTATGTAGGTTCTCAAGATTGCTACATTATCACTTTATTACACATTAGCACAATATACTATATGCATAAATTTATGTAAAATACGTCCTTTACATTTTTACAAAATATTTAGGGCAGCTTGTTTATGGATAAATATGTATGTTCAAGTGAAATGTCTTTGATCCAAAGGAAGCACTTTATTTCCTCCAAT